TCCTGGCAACGCGGGTGAAACCCGTCTCTACTAAAAATTCAAAAAAAACTAGCGGCGGGGTGGGGGCGCTTGTAGTCCCAGCTACTCGGAGCGAGGAGGAGGAATGGCGGTGACCGGAGGCGGAGGCTTGCAGTGAGCTGAGATCCGCCACTGCACTCCAGGCCTGGGTGACAGAGCAAGACCGTCTCAAAAAGAAAAAAAAAAAAAAAAATAAGATAAGTAGGGACAAAACAAAAGGTCAAGCCTGCGATTCCTACAACACAACACTAATGTTTTTTTTTTTTCTTTTTTGAGACCAGGAGTCTTGCTCTGTCACCCAGGCGGAAGTGCAGTGGCACGATCGTCGGATCACTGCCAACCTCCAGCCTCCCGATTCAAGTGATTCTAGTGCCTCAGCCTCCCGAGTAGCTGAGATTACAAATTAACAGGAGCCACCACCACGTCCGGCAATTTTTGTATTTTAGTATTTAGACCATGTTGGCCAGGCTGGTCTTGAATTCCTGACCCTAAGTGATCTGCCCGCCCTCGGCCTTCCAAAGTGCTGGAAGTTACAGGCATGAGGCCAGTGTGCCTGACCTATTCTGTACATTTTCTTCCCAGCAGACTCATTCTAGCCTAGCTACAACACTTTTATAACATCTGCCTCCCAAGTCCCTTCCTGACTCTCAGCTCCCATGTGGTCTTCTCTCCCCAGCATTGGCGCTCTCGTGGGCCTGTCTGTAGCAGCAATGGTCCTTCTCACCTTCATTGTTACCGCCTGTGTGCTCTGCTACCTGTTCATCAGCTCTAAGCCCCACACAAAGTTGGACCTGGGCTTGAGCTTACAGACAGCAGGTAAGGAAGTTGCCAGGTGATGTCCTTGTATTCAGTAAACTAGCACCTTTTCAGTGGGGAGAAATGTAGAAATGATGTTTGGAACATTTGCCTCATGACTATTCTGGAATATGCAGAAGCAGCAGCACATTTTTCAGGAGATTCATGATCTAAACATTTCCATCCCAGACTCTTCATGTTTACAGTGTTTGTCAAAATAATTTAATGTAGACAACACTCCATTTGTCACACAAAGGTTAATCCATGTTGTGGATTTTCTAAGATGATGTTTTAATTTTAGCCTTGGGGAATGCAAACTGATTTTAATATGAACTCAAACAAAATATAATTAATTGTTAAAATTTGCTGCTTCCAAACTCATAATTTATCAGAAATGAAATACAAGCGCTTTTATTGTGTGTATGTGTTTTTTTTAAATAATCTGATGTTCCAGACTACGCATTTCTTCATTAGTATAGGTTATCAAGAGCCTCTAAGGGGCCCAGAAAAAAAAGTGTTTCTTTTTCACAAGCCTTTTTTGCACACATTTTGACAACTTCCTGAAAGGTATTGTGAAAGATACAAGTCTCTGGGCCAGGTGTGGTGGCTCACGCCTGTAATCTCAGTACTTTGGGAGGTCAAGGCGGGCGGATCACAAGGTCAGGAGTTCAAGACCAGCCTGACCAACATGGCGAAACCCTGTCTCTACTAAAAATACAAAAATTAGCCAGGCATGGTGGTGCGCACCTGTAATCCCAGCTACTCAGGAGGCTGAGGCAGGAGAATCGCTCGAACTTGGGAGGCGGAGGTTGCAGTGAGCCGAGATCGCACCACTGCACTCCAGCCTGGGTGACAGAGCAAGATTGCTTCTCAAAAAAAAAAAAAAAAAAAAAAAAAAAAAAAAAAAAAAAAAAAAGACGAAGGAAGGGTGACAGGAGGCATCAGGGAGGTAGTAGTAGCCAAGTCTCAGAGAAAGAGAGGGCTGAATGCCATCATTTGTAAACACGAACTTTCCAAGTTAACAATAAAAATACAACAAGCAACAGCACAAGAATCCTTCTCAGATCCTGATGACTGTGAATAATCCAGCTGTGTCTGAGCAGCGAAAAGCAGGAGGGGTCACTTTTGAGGGTGGAAGGATTCAGCTGGCTCCCCTTGGAGTGAGAAAGACCTGAGAGGCAGTGGCAGGGGAAGAGAAAAACGTCTGCATGTAGACCCAGCCTGGTGAAGACCAGAGACAGTTGAGGCTTCAACGTTTTTTGTGTTGTTTGAGACAAGGTCTCACTCTAGTCGCCCAGGCTGGAATGCAGTGGCATGATCATGGCTCACTGTAGCCTTGAACTCCTGGACTCAGGTGATTCTCCCACCTCAGCCTTCTGAATAGCAGAACTACAGGCGTGCAGCACCACACCTGGCTAATTTTTTGTATTTTTAGTAGAGATGGGGTTTCGCTACCCTGCTTAGGCTGGTCTCGAACTCTTGGCCTCAAGCAATTCACCTACCTTGGCCTCCCAAAGTGCTGGGATTACAGGTGTGAGCCACTGCACACAGCTGGTTTCACCTTTTATAGAGAATAATTATAAAGGTTAATGAAAGACAGAAAGACTCTATGGGAGATATGGCATGTATGTGGATAGAAAGGCTCAATATCATAGAAATGCCAATTCTTCCTAAACTAACCTATATATAAAAATAAATTAAAATATTTCATGGAATTTGTCAAATTAATTCTAAAGTTAATCTAGAGGCATACAGGTGGAAGAGTGAACAACACAATTTTGGAAAACAAAGAAGAGGAGGGATTTGCTCTATCAGGCAACAGGACATTTTTAAAAATATAGGATTTCTGTTTAAAAATACAAGTTAGGCCGGGCGCGGTGGCTCAAGCCTGTAATCCCAGCACTTTGGGAGGCCGAGACGGGCGGATCACGAGGTCAGGAGATCGAGACCATCCTGGCTAACACGGTGAAACCCTGTCTCTACTAAAAAATACAAAAAACTAGCCGGGCAAAGTGGCGGGTGCCTGTAGTCCCAGCTACTCGGGAGGCTGAGGCAGGAGAATGGCGTGAACCCGAGTGGAGGAGCTTGCAGTGAGCTGAGATCCGGCCACTGCGCTCCAGCCTGGGTGACAGAGCAAGACTCCGTCTCAAAAAAATAAAAAATAAAAATAAAAATAAATAAAAATACAAGTTTTGTGATACTGGCACAGAAATTGACAAATAGAATTGGGCAATGCAGTGGTTTTAAACTGAGTACAAATTTGCTCCCCCAGGACAATTGGCAATGTCTGTAAACATTTTTGGTTGTCACAATCGGGGAAGGGATACCATTGATATCTATTGGCAGAGGCCAAGGATGCTGTTTAACAGCCTGTAATAAAGAGTACAGTACCTTGCAACAAAGAATTATCTGGCCCAAAATGTCAATAGTACCAGTTGAGAAACTCTAGAGTAGAGAATAGAGTACTAAAGTTGAAAAACCTAGACTAGAAAGAGTCCAGAAACAGACCAATTAAAATATAGGAATTTGCATAAAATGTATAATTTTCTAAAAAATAAAGGAAAAGATTAGCAAATGTCCCTACGTCAAGTACAAATAATATGACACTGTATGTGAAGTTAAAAAAAAAGTGATGGACTGCAAAGATATTATATTACACATTAAATATCTACGCACGCACACACACGCACACACACATACACAATTAGTCCTCATTATTCTCCAATTCTGTATTTGCAAATTTGCCTACTTGCTAAAATTTACTTGTAACATCAACATCAATACTCAAGGCAATTCTGAGGTCATTTGTAAATGTGTGCACGCACAGAGTAGCAAAAAATTTGATTTACACATGTATCTTAGGTGATAGTGAATAAGGTATGCTCTGCCTTCTCTTTGCAGCTCTCATGGTATAAGCAAGTGTCCTTTTCTCAGTCTATTTAGTGCCATGATTTTTGCATTTTTGTTATTTTTAATTGGTGATTTCACTGTTTTGTTTTGGTTTATTTTTATTTTTATTTTTTGAGATGGAGTCTTGATCTGTCACCCGGGCTGGAGTATAGTGGTGCGATCTCAGCTCACTGCAACCTCTGTCTCCCGAGTTCAAGCAATTCTCCTGCCTCCGCCTCCCAAGTAGCTGGGACTACAGGCACCCACAACCATGTCCAGTTAATTTTTATTGTATTTTTAGTAGAGACAGAGTTTCACTATGTTGGCCAGGCTGGTCTTGAATTCCTGAACTCAGGTGATCTGCCCGCCTCAGCCTCCCAAAGTGCTCACAGGTGTGAGCCACTGTGCCCAGCCTGTTTTTGATGTTTTAGAGACATGAATTTTAGGTTATAGTGCTGTTGGCCATGAGTTCAATGTTAATGAATCAATAACATATTAAATAAGGTCACTTGAAACAGAAACACACATAGAAAAACAAAGTTACATATTGATCAGTTGACAAAAATGTGACCAGAGGCTCACAGGAACCTAACCTCGTATTTCCCCTAGGAGTAATAATTCAGTATTTGTTAATTTAGTGTTTGCTGTGACTTTATAGAACATAACTACCGTGAATAATGAGAATCAACTGTATATAAAACAAGGCAGGATTGATACAAGTACACCTTAAAAGATGAGAAAAATTTACTTCGTTAAAAAAGAAATACAAATGCCCAATGCACATGAAAGATGCTCAACATTACTAATAATCAGGGGAATGCAATTCAAAAATGATACATCCAAGCCAGGCACTGTGACTCACACCTATAATCTCAGCACTTAGGGAGGTGGAGGCGGGCAGATCACTTGAGGTCAGGAGTTCGAGACCAGCCTAGCCAACATGGTAAAACCCGTCTCTACAAAAAATACAAAAATTAGCCATGCGTAGTGGCGTACACCTATAGATCCAGCTACTTGGGGAGCTGAAGTGGAAGGATTGCTTGAGCCCAGAAGGTGGAGGTTGCAGTGAGCCAAGATCGGCCACACTGCACTCTAGCCTGGGCGACAGATCAAGACCCTGTCTCAAAAAAAAAAAAAAAAGAAACATCTTTATTTAAAAAAAAAATTACATTGGCAAAAGCCCAAAAATGTATCATATTAAAAGTGAGAAGTTTGGAAGGTTGGGGTGGGGGAAGCAGACACTCTCATATACTACTGGTAAGAGTATACATTGGTACAACCACTTTATAGAGAATTTTGGTACTATTTAAATAATATATCTAATATATCACATATAATTATATATTATATATATATAATTATATATTATATATTTATATATAATTATATGTGATATATTAGATATATTATTTAAATGTATTAAATGTAATATATTAAATGTAATATATTTCATTATTATATAATTAATTATCAATATGTTATTATCAACATTATATAATTGTTAGTTTTATATATATACCCTGTTACTCAGTAATTCTACTTCTAATTAGCTGCCTTAAAGAAATAGTTGCATTAGAAGAGGACAGACATCTTGAGAACCTGTCACATTGGAAACTAAATGTCCATAGGTAGAGGAATGGATCATAAACTGTGGTATAATAGAATAATGAAATAGTGATACCATAGGTAAAAGGAATGAACTAGCTCTAAATGTACCATATTATTTGCTCTTTATGGTAACTGGGTAGGGTATAGATCATGTTATTACTTTCATTTTACAGATGAGGAAACTGAGATCCAAAGTCACCGAATGAGTGACAGAGCCAACTCTCCCCTTCACCCTCCTTCCTCTCCTTATCCCTGTTGCTGTGAAAAGGGCATCCCTACAATGTGCCAGACACTGTTTGAAATTTCACACGCACCATCTCCTCTAATCTTTCCAGCTATCCCAGTGAGGTAGGTCTCATTATAACCCATCTTACAGATGCAAAAATCAGGTCTCAGAGAGCTTAGATAATTTGCACAAGGGGTCATACATAGCTTGTGATTGTGGAGCTGGAAATCAAACATGTCTTTCTACCTCCAAAGTCCTGCTCTTTCCATCCTCCTAGAGCAGGACTGTGGGATGTTCT